TAAAATCCAAAAATTTAGTGAAGAATTTTGAATTAATAAAAGAAAAATTTTTACACCTTCACGACAGTCTACCTTAATCAACCAATACCTGTTAAGATATACTCGGCAGAACACGGTAAAATTAATCTGGTTATTTCGTACAGTTGAGGATAATCGCTGTATCACTTTGTTGTCCTTTACAACAATCTATCTCAAGCTCATTGTGCTCAAAATTGGACCCATTATTATATGACAGAATGAATTTTCAAATTCTACTTCATCTAAACACTTCATTTACCATCCTATACGCGGCGGATAGATATGAAAGCTTCATTGTGCATGTGATGCTTTATATGTCATATTCTTCAACCGTGGCTTCTCACCAATTAACTCAAATATATATGAGCCATCCCATGCCAAATCGCACACTTTTTTCTCTTCGTATTTCAGTTTTTTTTGAATTTTACTGATTAGTAGATTTTTCGGTCAGTGTACGAAAAGCCGAAAAAAAAAGCTGGAAAAGTGAATTCCCCGCCAAGCTACATCTCTCAAAGTTGCAGAATTCAGAATCTCAAAGTTACAGATATGCAATCCCAAACTACAGAAGAACTTCAGGACATTGTTAGACGGAGAAGTAGATAAATTTAAGGGCACAATTTTTAGATCGGTGCTTAGTCGAAAATTATTTCAACGGATTTGCTGCGGTTGAAGAGGGATGTTACTGTAGCGAAAGGATATAATAGCAAAACGGAGTGATCAAAGGGTAAAGTAGCTAGACTCTTAGACGACAGCCACTGTATAAAAGCATCATGGTTTACTAAAAGTTTGCCTGAGTTGATTATTTTTTTGCTTCAGTTTTTTAATTATGAATCATCACAGGTGGATATACATTTTAGGACCAGCTTTTGATTTTCAAGCTTTTCCACTCATATCTTCGCTTCCGAAGTTTTAACGTACTTGTCTGTTGTTATCTGTCAACAATGTTCCGTTTTTAATGGAGTTTTAATTACTGCGTTTTAAGACAACCACTGAACCACCAGAAGGAGGAGAAGCAACAAGGGCTTGTAAATTTTACAGTTGGAGGAGTAGACGGTCACAAGTGGGAATCAGTTCGGAAGCTATGAAGCAGCTAAACGTGTATGGGATTTGTTTTATTCATATTGTTTCACATTCAGTTTCCGTTTACAACGTCCTCACAAACGTTCATAATGAGCAAGTAGTTTTTTATATTGTTCCTAGCGTCTCTCAGAAGTTTTTCTATAGCCGTAAAATACTCGTTTCCAAACGTGATTTCCTCGCTTCTGGCCAACGCATAAAGACAACGAATGACAGAGGTTTGAAAAATCTATGTATACCAGGAAAAATTTTAAGGAAGATTTCTGTAAGATTCTTGACTGTGCGCGAAATCCCCTGACTTTAGTGCAAATTAATGTCAAGAAGTGAAGGAGGTTACACTTCAAACAATTCGAAAAGAGGGGAAAGGAAAGCAAAAAAGCAATATTATTACAAAATAAGAACTATCTAAGTCATCTTACTGGCTAGAAAACTCATCAAGATGACAGTTAATCTATAAAACCTATAATTTGCTTAGAAGAACTATTACCGTGATGTCAAAAACGGTCGCTTTCCATGAAATCGCATACCAATTGGAGGAGCTGAAGGTTGACGTATCATTCTGTTTGAGCTGTTCCACTCAATACCAGGAATGCTTTCCTTTATTGCATTGATCCACTGTTCACAATCATCACGGCTCCTAGTTTCCACAGCATATTCAACCTAAAATTTTACAGACTTTTAACAAATCAAAAATTGTTTATTTATTACATTTTCGAGTTGAAGTTTACTGCTGAACGTTTCCCCAAAAAATAATTGTTATAAAAAGCACTCAGTTAAGCAGGTGGAAAACTAACACCATTGAAAGCACGGATCACGAATATTGTTTCTGACGCGTCTTCAAATTCCAGTCGCGTTGCTTCACGAATTTCCATGATAAGAAAGCAAAAGATACCCGTTTTAGCTCGAGTGCTCTAGACACTACTGTTGTTGCGGTTTAAAATAGTCTTTAGCAAAATTGGTCTTAGAAGTTTGTGAAATAGAGAAACAAAAAATTTTTGTGAAAGATTAATAGATAATTATAGGTAGAACCTTTGGAGGGGAATAAAATTCAAGCAGAGATCCACCAGCAGTTTTCACAAGACACGTACGGCATTTGCGCCACTCCTTCGTTTCCAACTCCAACCCGCTAATGAACCTATGATTATTTCTTCCTTGTTTTGAAAATTTTTTCACTCTTAATCTAACTCTTTCTAAATTTCAACTCATTTAAATCACGGAAGCACTATTCAATCATTTTTTGTGTATTTTCTCACCTTAATTGAGCTTCTTTGATTACTTCAACGTTTCTTTTAGAAGAAAATTTCGACCGTAGCCAGGAAAGCCGCGTTGATGATGGTCGTGAAGAAGTCCGATTGTGTGTAGCTAATTCAAACTAAAAAATTAAAATTTTTTCCAAAATCAACAGGTCAAGTGTGTAGGGGAGTAGCTTTTGCCAAGTAATAAATTAGGTAGTGAAAACTTAACCCGCTGCTAATTATTAGAAATACTTGACAAAAAAGTAATAATTCATAACTGAAAAGCGTAAAATCAATTGATCTTAAAATGCCTCTGAAGGATTGGGTCGCCTTGGAAGAACAAGCGCTTAAGTTAAAAATAAGGGCTTTTATAACTGACAAATTTTCCGCCTCTCTCGTTGATATTTATTATTTGCCGATCTTTGAAAAAGAAGAAATGCGATTTTTAGCTTGCTTTAAGTCGTCGAATAATTTGATTTTTAAATGACTGTATTAGGCAGGTAAACCTTTAATTCATGTTGCCGTTGTACCGCTTTCATCGATGTACAGAAAGTAAAGAAAAACGAACATTTTTGCGCAAAGATGAAAACTCTTTGCACGACCGGACTAGAAAACTCATATCAGCGATACTAGCTGGTCTTTTGCTTGAGCTTTGAAGTGACGTGCATGGTTGTTCCGCGGAATCATTGTCGATAAGTTCGCAACAAACTGGAGCACTTGATGATAGCTAAAAAGATTATTTTTAATTACAAACTGTTATGCTGAACAATTACGTGAACAGACATGTGCAGTAAGAGTGCTATTTAGTACGGTGATGGAATGTAGGTAGACGCAGAATTTAAAATTCTGTAGGAGGCGTCTTCTTTCAAAGACAAACTACATGTCTTAAACCACAACTCAGTGTATTCTAGCTACCCGTATTTCAAAAGTTTCTCAAATAAAGTTCCTTTGAAAAAACACTATGTTGCTTTACTTTTGAGACGTATGTTAAAGAAGAAACTGATAAACAAACAAACAAACTTTACTAATTAAATATAATCGATTAAGCCTTAAAAAAGAGCTCAAACTAGAAGAATTCTAGATTTCTAGAGCTTTTTTTTTTTTTTTCAAAATAGTGTCATGTTTCCATTGGTAAATAAGTTTTACACCGAAATCCTCCTCAGCTCTTCCAGTGCATTACAAATCAGAAAATAATTACCCGCTACTCTGGTTTTAAATAATCCTTTCTTTGGCTTAAGTAAGCCTCAAATGAGCAAGGTTAGATTGCTAAAACCTAAAGACACAAAGAGTTAATCATAAACGTACTGTTAGACTGATCACACATTGTCAACACATTCTCGTTTCTAAGAGTTACTGTTTAGATCTTAGTCAAGTGAAAAGGAGTTAGCCAAGAATAAGTACAATTACAGCATTTTTTTAATCTTTATTTCTGCAAATCACTATCATAGCTGAATGTTTAACTCTTGCTGCATTATCACGTACTAATCCTTATGTCACTTAATTTAATGAGGTAAATTTGCTGTCAAGTAATCACCAAGTTATCACAGTTTGAAACAAAGAAGGATAATGCAACATCCCTAAAATTTTAACAAAATCAGAAATATCTTGTAAGGAACATAGTACTTTATTAAAGTTTGTATTTTAGTAGCGATTTTTGAAACTTAGCAATGAAGTTTCTGCTTAAAATAAAATAGTTTTTTGAGAATTATAGTTTAAAAATTTTCTAACGAAATGCTAGGTTTAATGAAATTGAAAAATACTATATGCACTTCAATTGATCAAGATTTTGCCTCTGATTAGAGAAGACAGAAAAGACGAAGTTTATGGTAATTTGAAAAAAAAAAAGAAAAAACAGTGTTATCGTTGGCGCAGTACTTTCAAATCTTAGCTTAAACTGTGAACAAAAAGTTTAGGTCACCGATTGTTGATAGTTCTGCAAAAAGTAAAAACAAAAAAAAAAAAATAATAGTAATAATTTATTAATTTACTACACGACAAAACAATAACAACCAAAACTTCCTGCATCACTATTTTATTTTTTTTTGTCTTTAAAATCCGCTTTTGTAAATAATATTTGACTCTTAGATGCAATAGTTTCCTGAACGGTGATAAGATATAACTCT